CCCTTATCTGGTCCAATCACACTCTTCCCTAAAGCAACAATCCTTGCAACTGTATCTCTGTTTTTCTAGAAAGGATGTACATATATCCCCAAATATTTATCTACTTGCCACTGATATAAATGAAAATACTTGTCTCATATTGATATGAGATAAACACATATCATGTCCTACCCACAAACAGAAAAGCCCTCTGATTTCCAGATGTCTACAAGCCCAGTAACACAAGTGCAAACCACACCAACCACAATCACTGTGAGGGCTCAGTGATCACAGAATCACATCTCAAATGTGTATTACAAAGTATCAAGACTGAAAACCGTGAAGCTCTGCGAAGGTCAGTCCAGCTTTGGATTTCTGCTCAGTCCAGGCATGTCTAGAGAGCAGAGTTACAGAGCAGTGCTCAGGCTTTGCAACTCCACTCCCTTAAATTGCAGTGTAGAACTTGTTGCATACAATACTGCCTACCCCACAGGCTCGGTGACAACAGGACCCTAGAACCTCCTTTCTGCCCCTTTTCCCTCACAGCCCACACAGCAGAGGTGCCCTGCAACCAGCTGCAGCCTCCATTCCCATGGGCACAACAGGCACACACACCTTCATTCACACCAAAATGCTGAAGTGCAGATGAAGTACCAACACCCCAGGTTGATATGTCATGTTACACCATGGTACAGATCAGGAGAATTCACATGACCATTAAGGGCATCACCTTAATTAGAAACTGTAATTAAATGCCCACTGAAGGTTGGTAATATCGTTTGCTTCCAGGCCTTCTTATTTCATGAGGAATGCTCTGTTGGCTCAGATCAATTCCCCCGTGGAGCCTGGTACTGTCCCTCAAAGCTGTGTTTACTGCTATGAGTTTTGTCATGGCCACCAGAAGAAAAGTTTTACACATTGAGCAGTTGCCAGATGGGGTGAGAACACAGCCAGAGCACTGAGGGCAGCACAGTCTACACAACAACTGAGCTGTCAGGAATGCTGCCCTCTGTCCTAAACAGCACCTATAAAAATAAGATGAAAGCACTCGTGTTTACAAATGTTTCAGGAAGCTGCAGGCCTGCAGGTGACACTGCCTTTGGGCTGGCTCTGGCCGAGGCAGGTAAGTGTGGTGGGGTGACAGGGCCCAAGAGCAATTCATGTGCTGGTTTAAGGAACACTCTGTACCTCAACTCTGCAAAGCTGAGACACCTCAAACAAGAAAGTGAAATCAGAAAATTAACATGCAGAGCAGCACATATTGAGACGTGCACTCTTTTTTTTTTAACCTAGACCTTTGCTGTTTTCAATAATTGATATAAAGTAACAGATGACTCACTAATTGCACTTCTAAATTGTAACCCAACCTGGAATCAATCACACATGGCATAACTTCTGTTCTTATTTGAAGCTAAATCCACCACAGTGCCTTCAGTAGCCGCTCTAATAATTGCATTAGTCATAAGCTGAAAGTATTTCCCATCTCCTTAGTTCCAGTTTTGCTTGCTTTTCAAGCTGATCCTCATCCCTATTGCTTAAAAGATCTCTGAAATGTTACCCTGCAGAGCCTGCTCTGGGACTTGAGGAGCCCTGTGCAACATTTCGTGGCGTGATTTCTCCTTTCCTGGTGTCTAATTTTCCTCCAGTACCATTTTATCTCCTTTGCTCTAGCTCAAAGTCAGAGAATCATTCAGGGCTGCAACAGATACTAGCAAGCACTATGTAAAACTTGGTGAAGAGTTAAGTACACAAATGACTGCTAGCATAAATCATATAATCTTTTGTTTTGCAGCACAAATTCTCAGTTTTTAAGTGTCCTCCACACTGGATACTTACCCCCTTGACTCTCTCCCTTCCATGCCTGAGATACACTTTAAAATAAAAATTAATACAGATCTTGTAAGGATTTTTCAAAATAAAACTCTTTGCTATATCAATCTTATGAGACTAATTTCCCACGTAAAGACAGCTCTTTCTATGAAGATTTTTAAAAGACATGCACAAGAAGTTATTTTCTGCCATTCAAATTCTGTCCTCAGCTATCTTTGCACAAATCCCATTAACTTTAGTATATGTCTAAAGGCAGAATTTGAAACCCATAAAGAACTGGGTCACTGGACAATGGTAAGTCTCAAACAGAGATTTCTGAGTTATAACAAGAAAGAAATCCCTCTTCCCTCGGGCACTACAGGAGCATTGCCATTTGTCTGTAAACAATACCAAACACTTGCAATCTGACAGGCTGCATTTCATCCTTGCTCACTTAGGGGTTTCCCCTGTCCTGTAGCTAACGGGCACTCAGTGCTCAGGGCAGCATTTGGGGCAGAAGGGCATCCCCAGTGCCCATCCCTGCTGCACCTGCCTCACTCCCACCTCCACACTGGCACCACCAGTTTCTATGGAAAAACCTGGAGGAAACACACATCATTTCCTTTGTAGTTACATATCTTAAAAAAATAATTCTTTCTATGCCAGTATTTTTTTCCCAAGAAGGAGCATGATTATTGTTAATTACTTCAACTTTCACCAAGGTAACTCTTAATTCCATGTTGTTTTTGGTACAATTCAATCCCCATCTTGTATTGACTATACTTAGAGCTATGAATTCAATTTTCTTCCTTTTCATTCCATGAAGCCTAAAGACAGATGCTAACTTTTTTTCCAAGCCTCAGATGTTCTTTTCCTTGTTAAATGTATATCCTTGTACTGCAGAGCCAAAGCTCTTCCAATCCCCTGTATTCTAAATTAATCCATCAATCCCCTTTCCCCTGTGTTTTTGCCCTTGGCAAATCATTAGCCCAAGGGAAAACTCAACAGAAAAATTCAAGATTTCACTCAGACCACAGCTGAAAACATCTTTCTTTCTTTTTCTTAATAACCCAGTACCTGAGGTGCCATTTCTTGCAGGTTTTTCCCTCCTCACTACATTTCCAGCTGCACTGCACAGCCACTCATTTCACAGCTGCCCCTTCCCATCCCACCATCCACCCAGCAGCCTTCCCCCATACTGTATTTATGCTGTGTCTCTATTTGATGCAATCAATTTCAAATAAAACTGTTCTTATGTTAAGTCCTTGGACCAGTCCTTGATTTCCAGCTATTATCTTCTGCCTCTTTCCAAGGCCCACACTTATACTTTAAGGTCACACAGGAGATTTGGCTAAATTCATTCATCGCTTTGAAATCTCTCGATCTAAGACATGAAAGCAGTAACTGAGATTCTTCATATTTGTTTCTCCTTTCTATCCTCAAACATGACAAGATAAAAGTCTGTTACAAAGGCAGAGCAACGTCTGACTGCTCAGAACCAGGGTGACATTTCAGCCACAGGCTTGCAAAGGAGTACACAAAATGTAAGTCTAATTGGAACAAGGTGGACCTCTCCCTGCATGTAAAGTTATTAATGCACACGTGCCTTCCACTTCCACTCTAATGCTGAAATCACTCTTTTGAATGAAAGTTACTGTTTCACTTTAGCACCACAAATCTCCTGATCCTACGGTCTTTGGCCAAAGTTCCCTCAGAGGCTGCTTCAGCGCAGCACGTTGTGTACTGATTATTTTGGAATAGAGCTCCCCACTCTTTCATCTTCACAGCCTGTACAAAATCAGTTTTGAAAAGTATAAAAAGTGATATTGAATATGATTGCCATGCACATGTATGCTAGAAGCTGAGTTCAAAAAGGCACTTAACCTAGAAAATTTGGCAGAAATTCTGAAGCACTCAAGTGACTATATTGGCCATTTGAGTGTTGACGCACATGGAATGCTGAAGGATTATGAAGTTCTGTAACTGTTCTATGTACCACACATACAAAGAAGAAAGAAAATCCATCAGACTCAGCTCTCTCTCTCCTCCTACCTAAAGGTTCTGCTCGTCAGGGCTGCTCTGGAGCGCGATGAACATCAGCTCTGGGAGCTCTCTCCACCTCCACTGCAGTGCCCGTGTGCTCTAGAACAGCCACCTCTCTGGGATTGGGAAGAGCTATTGCAGGGAGCTGAATACTAACTTAAACCCATTTGTCTTGATCTCTAGAAGAGAAAGATGGAAATCATTGACCACCACACTCCTTGTGCATCCCAACCGGCCCAAACACACCACGAAAGTGCCTTGCTTTGTCCCCAGTCACTGAGGATTCCACAAGGACCTCAACCACAAGGAAGATTCCACAGAGAGTTCAACCGCTCACATGGTAACCCTATTCCTCAGCTCAGTTTGGGAACCTGCTCTTTCTTTGGATTTGGCAGCGGGATGTTAAAACCCTCCAAGGTCGGGCGCGGCGTGAGGGGCCGAGGCCCTGCCCTGGCCCCCTCCCCTCAGCCCTGCCCCCGGGCCCGCCCGGCGCCCCTCTCAGCCGGCGGGGCCATGGCTGCCGGAGCTATTCACGTTCGCGGCCGGGGCCGGGGTCGCTGTAGCGCCGGTACCGCCGCATTGTCGGTGCCCGCCTCGGAGCCCCGAGCGCGGCCGGGGCCGGGCCGGCCCTGCCCTCACACACCTGCCCTCAGCGCTGCGCACTCTGCGCCCGGCACGCTCGCGCCTACGCCGTTAGCGCGGCGGGAGCCCTCAGGTGCGGCGCCCGCGCTGACGACATTACGGAGACTCCGTAACACACACCGACCTCTTGGAGGGGTTCTACGCAAGCGGCGTTTCCAGGTGCGGCTCAACCGCTCCCGCAGCGCGCGGCCACGGAGCGCTCCAAGCGGCAGCGCCGCTTCCCAGGCGGCGGGCGGGACCGCGCGGGCTGCGCGGGGAGCAACGGCCGCAGGTGGGGAGCCCTGCGGGCCGAACCGACCTACGCCGATTCCGTAAGGCTGCGCCGGCCTGCAGGAAACGGCCGGGTCCGCGGCGCTACGGAGCTGGCGCAGGGCGGCGCGGTACCCCGTACGCAATTGGCGTAGGGCGCTCTCAGGTGCAGGGAAGGGGCGGGCGCGCGTTGCCCGGCAGCCGCAGCCTATGGGGGCGCGGGGCGCGGTCACGTGCGCAGCCCCGCTCGGCGCTGCGGAGCCGGAGGAGCCGGACGGGGCCGCGGAGCCGGGACGGGGCCGCGGGGCAGCGCCGGGGCCGGCGCCGAGCGGGGTGAGGGGCTCGGCGGCGCCGTGCGCGGGCGGCCGGCCGGCCCTCCGCCGGCTGCGGGGCGCGTTACCTGTCCGCGGGGCGCGCACCTGTCCGGAGCGCGTTACCTGCCGGTGGGGCGCGCACCTGTGCGGGGCGCGTTACCTGTGCGGGGCGCGCAGCTGGCGGCGGGGCCGGGGCGCAGCGGGGCCGCTGCTCGCGGTGTCTCCGGGCGGTCCCGGCCAGGTGCGGGCCGGGCGGCTCCCGCCGGGGCTCGGGGCTCGGCCCGAAGTTCGCTCCGGTGCGGTCGGTGCAGCGCCCTCCGCGCCCCGGCCCCGCGGGGCAGCCGAGTCCCTCCGGGCCCGGGCAGGCTCCTGGCTCCGAGCGCGCTCATCAGTGTTATGGTCTATGGTTTGTTTGGGTTTTTCCTCCTCTTTCGTTCTGTATTTGCTTTGCACTGGATTTTGTAATCATTAACCCGCTATCCCTTCTGGAAGTGAGAGCGTGAAAGGGATAACCAGCGAGTCATATGCCTGCCACTGAGTAGAGCAAAACTTGAGTTTTGAGTCAAAGTGGAAATATGCATTATCTGGCTAAATGTCTTATTATTTATTTACGTGGCTCTGAAAATGGTGCCTTGTGATTTACAGAAAGAAGAGAGTGAGCATTCCAAGCAGCTCCCGCACAGGGTATGGCAGAAGCGAAAATTTATAATCTGGGGGGTCCTAGATACGTTTGAATTCATTTTTTTCTGTACCTGTGTCCTCTAGTTTGTTAACAGTTTTTAGAAGTTTTATTGTACTTTGTCATGACAGCTCAGAAATGCTAAGTGTGGTTAAAGCAAAGAAAGATTTAAGTGGAGATTATAGTGAAGAATAGCACATATTTCAGATCTCCAGTTCCAAAAAATGTTTATGAAACTGTAAGTTAATTAAAATAACTGGGCTGTTTAACTTAAATTAAAATACTTGTGTTCTAGCAAACATTTGAAGCCTGGCCTTCTACGGTAAAGACAGAAAATTAAAATAATTTCTTCCATTCATGCAGACTACTTTAACATCTTCAGAAAGAATGGAGAAGAAAGGACTGTTTGCAAACTTGGTCTAGTCTTCTTTGATTTTTAAAGACATGGTAACCATTTTTGAGACCCAAAGGAAGCAGCCGTGGTGGCAGAGAGGAAGGAAGGAAGGAGCATGGAGCAGTGCTGGCTGCTTGCAGGGGAGGCCTTAGAACAAAACTTGTGGAATGGGAAGCGAGGAAGGCCTGGCAGTGTCTCTGGAGGGGCTGCACTGCTGTGCTCCTGTGTTTGCTCGAGGTTGTTGTTCTCTCTCTGATGAGCAAAAGTGCTTTCCAAGAATTTAACGAGCCCACCTCGTCCATGGAAGGTGTGCAAGCTGGGTTGGAGTTATTTCCTGCCAGTGTGGAGAGGAAGGAGAAATCTGTCAGCAGACTGCAGCTGGCTGTAGCTGCTACCAAATTCCTGGTCATTTTTAGGAAGTTAGACTTGTCTCTGGAAGTTTTTGGCATGTGTGCTTTTCTTCTGTCTGGAGCTTTCCAACCATTTTCCTTTGCTTCATGTTGTGTAGAATGCATGGAGAGATGTGGAGAAGAGAGGGTAGGACTACTAACAGTGAGGGTTTAATGTTTTCAGTGCTCTGTTCCTCAGAACCTCATCATTGGTGGTGCCAGTCTGGTGCTGCTTTGGCATGTGTAGTTCAAAGAGAATCTTTAGTCTTGCGAGTTTGGTTAGTCCCGGTTTTGTAAAGGGCTTTCTTTGCACGGGCTGTTCATCCAGACTCGTCGCTTCTCCTGAACTACTGGCAGTGTTTTTCACCTCTGCACAAAGTATCAGTTCTAGCTCTGTGTGGTTGACAGGCTGAATACGAGGTGGAAATCCAGGACTTGGTTTCTTGTGGAACTGGAGAAAGATTCCACATAGAGACAGCTGTGTGCTGGGGGCTGGGGGAGCCCAGGGGTAACTGGTGTCAGTGTTGCTGAGGAAGTGACCAAACCCAGCTTTGTGGCTTGTCCTAGAAGGAATTTCAGACACAGCTGATTTCAAAACAAAGGCTCAGAAGTAAATAAGAAGACAGTGAGCAGATGGAAAGGTACAACAGAAGATGGCAGAAGGCAAGCCATGCCAGGCCTAAACATGGCAGAAGTAGTTAAAACTGTGGTGGATATGTGGCTTTTGGTGACTCTTGTCTCTGCCTTGTACAGTTTTTCCATGGATGTTCATCCAGAATGCAATGCTTAAGGTCGCAGAGCTCTCTTCTTTTGAAGCCCCTCTGTTAATGTTCCTCAAAAGCCTGTGGGTGGAATGAGATTTTTTTTTTTTTAACTGTGAAATCTTGTTTTGAAAAATATTAAAAAAAAAAAAAAAGTAAAAAAGTAGTCTAAGAAGCTGCTTCATGTTGTGAAAAACCTCACTGTAGAATCATAAAAGCTGCAGTTTTTCCACGTTGCTTTGTAGCTTGGCATGTAAATAGAGCTCTTTGAAGAGCACATCCATGGCTGGAAAGGGGGAGTGGGAAAGGCTCTGGCTGGTTAACAAGCTTCCCAGTGTGTGAAAAACCACCGTGAACATGCAGGTGAAGTGTCTGCTAAAACATGCAGCTCTGTCCTGGGCTGGGTGATGTACCTACACCAGGAGTGACCAGTGTGTCAAAGTATCAACATGCAAAGAGCAGAACGGTGGCAGTTTGTGGATTTACAGCCTGGCTGGGTGAGGGAAGTGCTGGGATCATCTGGCTGCTGAGGATGCACAGGGTCAGTCTGCACCTCTCTGGGCTCACCTCCAGCTCAGTTTGGGTTCCTGGTGTCTCTCACCATGCCAACAGCAGACCCCAGCGTTTTGGGGTCTGTGCCTTGCTTTGTGCTGGGCTGGGGAGAGCGAGGAGTGAACGACCACACGAGGAGCACTTGGCTGGTGTGGTGTCCTGGATTTGCTGTAGCCCAGCAGTATTGGCAAGTGAAGATTGCTTTGCTGCTGAATATGCTGCAGTGAGGAAATGAAAAGGAAAATTCCTGTTTAAGGCAATATGAAAAAACTGTTGAGATTTAAAGAACAGAAAAATACAAGTCTCAAACCCTTCTCTAGAAACCACAGTTTGACTACGTTTGTTGTAGTTGTGGCATGATTTGACAAACAGAAACTTTGCACTTGATATTTATGGAAGGAGAAGCCTTACCTGAAAGGCATTGCTGGTGTTTTTGTTAAAAGCAATAATTGATATAAGCTACAAGGCCAAGGACAGTGTTTTTTCCAGCTGTACTTCTGCAGTTCTTGGCACTTGTGTAGTTTTTCCTTCTTATGTGCAAGTTTTTCACTGAGCACTGATGACAGAAAACAGTGTCACAGTTCGTGTCAGTGTCAGCTCACAGAGGGACAGTGTTCCCATTTAACTTCTTTGAAAACCTCAATTCGTGTCCCTTAACAAAAAACCTGCAGAGCAATTCTTATGAATGATATGAGCGAGTAAACATCTTGCACTCTGCATTTTTAGACTTTATTTAGCAGCTAAATTGCCTTATGTTTCTGGTCCTCTTACTCTAGTCATCACGGAATAGGAGGGGACAGAATTCTCGGAGCCCACCCCACGCTGGTCTGTTGTGTTGTGCTCCTAGCTCTGCAGTGCACATCCTGACCTTTCTGCTAAATTCCTGTGTGGTGTCAGAATGTGGACGAGGTGCTGGCTATAGGGGAAGCCCCAGAACAAAATCAGGGTATGTCATTTGTTCTGCTGTTTGTGAAGGCATGCAAAGCATGGCCCTGGGCTGCTCTGTCCCTCCTGTGCTGCTAAACCCAAGAACTGTGGGACTAACCCAAGGCTGGATTTTGTGTCCAGCTGAGCCAGGCTGCTGTTTCTCTGGGCCACCTGCACATCTGCCCCTTGGCTTCTCCACTAATAAAGACCAGGGATTAATTACTAAACCCCTTGTGGTCTTACGTAGTTGATTTTTCTATAACTGTGCAAAGCCTTGTAACTCTTCTGTAGTAAAATATTGTCATAACCTGTTGGAAACTTAAAGGTGTAAGTGGATGTTGAAGAGGAATAATCTTATGAAATCCATTTTAGGGATCTTTTGGATTGTGGAAACTTGAGTGATCCTGCCACATGTGTTGATTTACATCAGTTCCCTTATGTTGTGGTTTGGCATGCTATTTAAGAGCCCTAAGATGCTCCTGGTGATTGACATAACAAAATGTAAATTACATGCTGTTTTCCTAAGGTCTAATTTATCTGTCGTAAGGTTTGTGTACCAACAGTACTGAGCTCTTCTTACAATAATGTTTCCCTTTCATGTAATGCCTACACAGGGGAATTAAATTACCCTTAATTGTATGCTTAAAAAGAAAATAAAATTGGGGTGTGTATGGCTATGCCAGTAAATTAAATTTTGCTGCTTCTTGTTCTTTTTCTGCATTTAGTTTAAATTGTCTTTATTGAAAAAATTTATGTTTGAATATCTGGTTGGGAAAAACACTCTTACTCGTGGGTAGCTGTGAGATGTCACAAACTTGAAGAAATCTTATGAACCAGAATTAATTTAGATTTTAAAGCAGCACTTGGCATTTGGCTTGGCAGTAAATGAACTCAGTGGTGAGAAACTGGTGTTGCCCCATAGAAATTACCCCCTGGTAGGAGCAGAAAAAGGGCAGGCTGAGTTTAGGGCCTTGTACTTTTCTCCTTTTCCTCTGATTCTTGTGGGGGAAGACACTTTGAACACATTTCTTGTTTTACTTGCAACACAGCAGATTGGAGTGTTGGCACAGCGTCTTAAATGTTGGGCCCTCAAGAGTCTTTAGCATTCCCTGAGACACGGGGATGGTGTTCCATGGGGGAATGTTCCTCTGGAGCTGTTGGGCTGAGCTGATGATGTCCTAAACCAAATGTTCCCTAATCCCAGCTCTCATGGCAGGATGTGCCTGTGGAAAGGCCAGCACAGCCCACGGGTGTGTGGGAAGCCAGCCCCACAACCTCAGTTGTGGCACTTTGTGCTTGCAGAAAGGAGCTTGGGCAGAGCGCTCCCTCGAGGGGCTGAGGAGGCCTGAGGCTGTGGCAGGCTTTTTGGGCACACAGCAGCTGATTCCTTCCAGCAAGATTTTGCAAAAAAGATGTTTACCATAGTTCCATTGACATTGTGAAATTAATACATCTTTTTTAGTCTGTATTTTGCAGGGGATGGGTCCCATAACAGGATTATGATAAGTCATGGTTGATCTTGAAGGAGGCATAAAGTTTTTTTCACTTGTTGCAGGGCTGTTTTTTTGGTTTTTTTTCAGGACATAGCAGCCAAAGCATGGGTCCCAATTTAACCCTCTCAGTAAACACAGTATCTTTCTTCATAACATGAACTAACATAAAATCATACACGTGATATCTTGCTCACTAAAGAAACTGTACAAAATTCAGCAAGGAAACAAGCTGCACTCCACTGAATTTAGTTGCCATTGTTGAAATAGGTGATGTTTTAGAATTGCCAGCTGGTATATACCTGAGCAAGCTGCACTCCACTGAATTTAGTTGCCATTGTCGAAATAGGTGATGTTTTAGAACTGGTGTATACCTGAGTAAAGGTGTGTGATTGCCAAAGTCTTTTTACAGCCTGCTTAGCAAGACACTGACCAGTTGGACCAAACACATGATGTGGAGACTACATGTCAGGAGAGTATGAATAGATCCATTCAACAAACAAATTAAAACTTGTATTTAAAAAGAAAATAAAAAGCATTTGACTGAGCTGTCCCATGGCAGTCAGCTGGTGCTGTGTTTCTGACAGAGCAGAAGCATGATCATCAAGGGTCCAATGGTGGCACCTTGTGTAGGGAAGGTCTGTGGCACTGGGCTGCAGGTGTTTTTGTTAACCATAAAACAAATCACATCAGTGATGTGGAAGTGCTGACTGCTGTGTGCTAAGGTTTGATCAGTTTTGAAGCTGAGTGCACAGAACAGCTATTGGTGTGGTGTTCATTCCCTGGCCGTGGTGGCAGTGGCCCAAGCTGCGTGGCTGCTTTTCCCAGCTGAGGAAGCTGTGTGATGTTCTGACAGGTGTGACTGATGCTGGGGGCTGGCTGAAGACAGCCATTTTCCAGTATGAAGACAAGGAGACAGATGAGTAATTTATTCCTATTTTTGATACAGCTGTGCTGAAGGGGACAGCTCTTTGCATATGGAAACTTGCTCTTTTTCTCCAGGTACGGGGGCTGAGTTTGCTCTGTGACCCTCCTGGTGCTTTTCTACTTTTCCTTCTCTGCTCTGCCTGATTGCTGTGTGTCTGATGTGACAATCTGGGGGCATTTGCTTTAATGGAAAAGACTGGAATAGAAGGGGAAGCTCTAGGTGTACAGCCTGTGACTCCAGGGAGGGAGGTACCAGAGAACAGACACAGCCACTGGAAAGCTGAGGGCTCTGGTATGATGGAACAAGCAGCAAACATGGGTCTTTAAGTAGGATACTTGATGGGATTTCAAGGAAACAGACACAGAGACTCAGAACATTTGGATTCCTACTCTCTGACTGGACTGCTCTTCCAATCCCAATCTCTTCCCCTTTACTCTGATAGCTGGTATAGCTCAAGAGAAGATAAGGGGAAAACATAAATGTCCAAGAACTGATTTCTCCCCACCTCTGCTTTGAAGGATGCCTTTTCCATGTCATAGGCTCTCAGTGACTGTCATCTTTTCAGAGAGCTAAAACAGTTTGGTGAGCAGTTATTCCATGTCCTAATGCTTCATGATCTCTTGATTCGATGGCTAGGTAATTGGACTTGGCAAATAGATTAGGGCTTCTTTGGTTACCCAGTCATGCTCTCCAAGTCTTCAATCATGCAGAGACTTAATCTGTTCCTTTCAAGTGCTCAGCTGTGCCATTTGGGTGACCTTAAAGAGCATCACCGGGGCTGAACTGCAGAGTGTGCTATGTGGGGATGGGGCGTAGGAGAACTGGGAGCACTGCTTCCAAAACTGGAAATGGGTAAAACTCTTCAACAGCAGGCACTGAGCAACACTGTGTTCCAGTGAAGAATGTCTGGCAATTAACCTGCAAGTATTGATTAGGGCAGCATTTGGCCTCTTTTCAGATTCTGCTGCGGACTGACCGCACAATTTCATTTCTTCGTGTCTGAAGTTCCCCCTGTAAAGATCTGAAATGTTTTCCTGTCTCGCAAAAACTGTTATTTTAAAACCAGTAATAAATGTAGTCTGGTAAATATGGTGACAAGTGTTCTAGAAAAGCCAGGAAGAAAGGCAAATACTGGGAAAAGGGCGGGGAGACAAAACCGATAACTTCTTTGCTTCTGGTGGGTGAGGGTGAAATTGGTGACTGCCAAAAATATGAGCTCAGAGAAGTAGCTTGTTCTGCTCTGAGCCCACATCTGTACACACCTCCTCATCTCTACAGATGGCCAGAAGGCTGAAGAGAGAACACAGTTGTCTAAATTTGTGTAAGAGAAAAGAATCATGACTCCCACCTTGGAGGCACATAAGAACCTCCTGTAACTGGGAGGTTTTTGACAATTTTAAAAATTTGGTTGAATTTTCAGTCTTAGCAAATTTTGTGGAATCTGACGCTGTTTATAGTTGCTAAATAAATTACTTCTAAAATTTTAATTTGTGTTAGAAGATGACTGTCTGGAATGGCAGTCTTTATTCCTTCAAAACTGGCCTGCTAAGGAATATATTTGATCCAGAAGTCATCTTTGCATGCTTATACTTTAACAACTCATAAGATGCTTTTCTACTTAAGATTTCATAGTTCTTCGTGTTTTAGAAATAACAACTGTCACAATCACAGTGATGGTGCTGTTTGGATAAATCATGATAAAAGGCATGAAGATAAAACCAAAATATTTTTGCTTTCATATTTCTTTTCTCCTACCATTAGTGTGGGAATGAGATTGCCTTTTACACTGAATATATTCATATGGTCTGTTTTATCTTTCAGGGAATTCAGTAATTTTCCTTTTGTTAGCTCAGGAGATAAAGGATATTTTTTAAAGCAGGTAGTTGGGAGTCAGTACTATTTAAGTAGTGATCTCTTGACCAAAAACCTGGGTTTGTGGATGTGGCCTTATGGAATAAACTAACAGACAGAGCAGCTTACAAAGTGCATCTTTGACAGGTCTCTGATCAAGCCCATTCTGTGCAGAGAATGAATACTGAATGTCCCTGAGTTGTGACTGTAGGTACTGTTCCCTTCCACCCCAAACACTGAGGAGCCTGAAACTGGAAACCTCCTGGCCCTTTTAAAAACAAACGAGCAATTTTGTTTAACTTTTTGCTGCGGGTCAGGAGCCTGAGCTTCATGCCAAGTTTTACTGTGATCCAAAGTAACACTGCAGACTTATGGAAAACTTCCTGCAAAATGGAACTGATGAAGCTGTGACTGTTGAGGTGCTGTGATTTATTACAGCAGATTCTTACAAGGGAAATAAGAGATGTCCTGCCCTAAACATCCTTCAGTAAATGACAATTCTTAGGTGAGAACTTAGCAAGTGTATGGGTGAAATATTTTGTGTTCTTTAATATGGCTTCTACATGAGTGTTAAAACAGCCACGTTACAAATGGATCTGCTCTTTCTGTGCAGTTGGGTGGTAACTGGCCTCTGTTTTGGTTCCCTTTGAGATGCTTCCAAGTGTGCTTTTAGTGGTGCAGCAGCCCCAGTGCCACTGTCATAACAGCATTCCACCCTCCCTGAGGAGTTGCAGCAGCACCACACATGGA